ACTAGCCCTGGCCAGAGGGGGTGCAGGGGGGGGGGTGCTATTTTATTTTTCATGATAAAGCAAACATACAGTAATTTGAGTAATAACATGATGCTAAGCGAACTATGAACAACAATTACAATTGAAATACAGTATTCAAGCAAGACTTTGCAGTAGTGAAGCAAGTTGATGGGCGGGCGGCACATATGACCGACACAACTCAGCACCAGAGCTGGCCCCCCCGCCCTACCAGATCATGCTGGCTCCATCCCTGCCAATCAGCATGGGCGCGCGGTTTTGTTTTTTTTATATCATGCATGGGTGCATGGATCTCCTATTGTTCTGAAAAATATGGCAGATTTCAGGAGTGAAATGTAATTTGCGATAAAAAAGATGAAAACTGATTCAGAAACCCGACATATCTATCGTTAATGAGACAAGCAGCCAAACAGTTTATTTGTCTTAGCTTCATAGCAAAAGATCAGGGACAATATACAGGGTGTAAATTATAGTGCAAACATAAAACTATAATAAATTTTACTTATTTTAAGATGTCAGTCTTTATTTCCAACGTTAATTTCGTATTATATTCGACCCAAAGACCATTTGTTTTTTAAAAACAACAACAATGAAAATGACGTGCAATTTTCGAACTTTGTAAGTCACCTAAACCCTAACTTATTTTAAAAATTGATATAAAAATGGAAACCTTATTTTGAAGTATACTATCTAGCAATTGCCAGCGTGAAATACGGAAAATACGCGTATCTGGTCCCGGATGTAGTGGCATATGAGTTCTGACGAGTGTATTATAGTATCCAGTAAAACGCCATTATCCATATATAATAAATATAAACGCTATATCGCAGAAAAAAGCTAGCAATCAGTGCGCATGCAGAATGCGTTAAGTATATATACGGTATATATATACAGTGGACTATATGGATCTTAAAGGTCAAAGACATGGATGAAATATAGGTATCGTCTGGTTAATTATAGGCAAAGTACTACCTTACAGAGTTACAGGGATGGATATAAAGGAATGCATGTTATACTATATCAGAGATATATAGCTATGTCCTACTATATGTATACTTTTTAGATCTCATTCATGCGAGACAAGAATTTTTTTATATCATATTAAATTCGATATTAGATCTATAGTTATTGTATTATTTTGTTCTCTAATTCACTAGTATACAATGCCTCGAAAGTAGCGAGGAGAATAGCAAGTTTCTCACAATGAGAATAATTTCACCAACATGTGAACTAAAGCCTCCAGTAAAAGGCGCCATTCAGAACATAGAAGAGCAAGTCCAAAACCTAACAACACATGCGGAAATTCGAGAGCTACGACAATATTTGAAAGATGAGGTCGCAAAAGTTCAGAACACTGTTGAAGAAATTCTTCATATTCTGCTGAATAAAACAAGAAAAGGTATATTGACAGAACCAATTTTAATATGTTTTGAAACGGAAATTGATCATGGAAACAGTCTTATTGCATTGGCGCATTGCTGTAATAACAAGCTTCTGTAGGCTACGTCGGTAGGAATGGATGCAACTACCTGAAAAATATATGTTATATACTAGCTTACTCCACACGGCTTAAGGCTTTCGCTCGAAACGTCGTAATTCTCCTTATATTTTCAGGTAGTTGCATCGCTACCAATTACGAAAGCTTGTTATCACAGTATTGAAACTATACCTACATACTATAGCCAGCTCTGGCACCGACAGTTCAAGATTATTGCATTGCTCACTGTATTAACACGAAAAAGTTACGAGTTAAGTCCATTTTTTTAACATTTATGTCGTCAATTTTCGTCCAAAGTGCAAGTTTCAGTTTACGATCCGTGCGGTGGCGTTGTTTTGTCTTATGCAACTGCATGCATGCCTATATCAGTATATAAGTTAGCTCAAAATTGATTAGTATATATATATATATATAGGTAATCATGCGATGGCGAGTACAATTAGGGATTAATAGTACGAGTGATGTTTGGAAATTTTGCCAAAATTGGACGAGCCGCCGGGGCGAGTCCAATTTTAAGTTTAATTTACAAACATCGCGACGAAACTACAATGTTACCGACAATATTGGGGGGTGTCTCCCCCCCATACCCCCCCCCCCACACACACACACACACACACTAGTTTTGGCCCTGTTCATGTAGTTTATATGTGCAAATATTTGACTTAATTCGTAGCGCTGACGGAGCTGCATGCAGTAATTCATACAGCGTCACACTGCATGTAGTTTTAATGTTCAAAATATCTCCAGTATACTAGTCTCATTAGGCAATCGTTATATTTTAGGTAAATGTGTCACGAATGGATCAATATCAAACCCACAAAACACATCCAAGCCAACATACACATCAATCCAAATGGAAGGTATGATCTTTATCACATATATATATATATATATATATATATATATATATATATATATATATATATATATATATATATATATATATATATATATATATATATATATTGACCTATGAAATAAAGATTGATAAGAAATCATGCAAACGAAACTTCAAACCGATATTTTAGTAGAAATAAGCAAACCAATTCGTGTCATTTTTATACATAAACATTTTTATACATTTAAACATAAAAAAGTTCCTGTTATGTGATTGAACCCTACAATCACTGTTAAAATATACAACTCTAAAATTAAACTAGAGTAAAATAATGAACCCAAAACGACTCAAAATTTTGAGTAAAATTATTCGATCCTATGAGCGCACTTGCCGAACTTTTTAATAATAAAATTTCAAATTTACACAATTTTCTGAGTAAAGATCTACTTTACTCAAGAATATGTTTAAAATTTCTCCTAACGATTTTACTGTATATTTTGAGTCGTACTCAAGTTTTTTAGTCAAATTCAAAATACTCATGCAAGGATTTTAGGAAGTGATAAATTATAATCAAAGCATTTGATGATAACTTAATTACATCATCATCATCCTACATTTCTCCTCATGCAAAAGAGGCCAGGCCTAGCTCCTTGTCGCAACATTCCACGGTTTTCTTCTATGCAAAGCCAAGTCTTCCTCCATATCATTCCTACCATAGTCTTCCTTTACACAAACTATCCATCGTTTCCCCGCTCTATACCGCGCGTGGTCGTTTTCCCGTCTTCCGTTCTTTGCCCATCACGTGATATAACGCGGCCGTAGTCTTCTAACATGCCCAAAAAAATATCTAAATTTTGCTTCCCTGTGTTTCACTGCCAGCCGAAAAAAGATATTTTTATTCTAATTTTATTATTTTACAACATTTCGTAACCAAATTTTGCTATTTTACTGATTTTAATAAGTTCTTTACGGTAATTTACTTTTTTTGCCTAAATCAAAAATTAGTCTAACATGCAAGTTGTCTATTGGAGTGAACAAAATAATACGAACATATATAGCAGTGTATATATTACCGTAACCTGCATAGTGTCAGGCTTTATTTTACCACAGAGCTTGACACAAATCTTAATCGCTCACTCTCCATCCAAAGTAAAGTTTATCGGGTATCCAACCAAAATGTTCCAGGGAAATTGTCAATTTTGCATAATAACAACAACAAATCTAATTATAATTGAAACTGCTAAATCAGTACTATAGCATTAACAAAATTCGTCTAATAGACAAATTATAGGTAAAAAGCCGGTATTTTGTTTTTTTTTACGTGTCGTCATAGTTCATGGTAAGGAAAAATGGCCTGGTATACTCAGGCTAATATTACTATAAGAAGAGAAGAAGAGGTAGCTAGTGCATTAAGATTAATATATAGTGGAGTTTGAATGTTGGTGAAACAGTCCGACACCCTCGTACATGCACCTGCTTTACATCATATGTACCTTACTATAATTTTCAAGTTACGTGACATTAAGGTCACTATAGATACGCCGGATTATTCACCACACCTAAACATGCACCTAAAAGCTTGTCTCTCAAATGCCACCTTCGGAGTTGTCAGTAGCAATACGCAGATTAATTAAAGTAATAAAATAAGCTTAGCTTGTTTAGTTGCCGGCTTTAAGAGTTTGGTAATTGAGGCATGGGCTATGGAATGTTAGGGAGGAGAGGCGCGGGAAAAGCGAAAATGCCCACATTTTCCATATTCTCCATATCTTTTATTGGTTAAATTTGAAATATATTTTTGTTATGTCATAATTTATTTTCTTTGAAGATGTTGTAGTTACAATAAAACTTTAGATAGGTAAATAGTTTTTATACCATGTGAAAAGTTGATTTATCTTTAATTCCTATAAGGTAAAGACTGCGCTGATTTATTCGAGAAAGGAATAAATGCTAGTGGAGTGTACAAGATTGACCCAGATGGCCTTGGTAGTTTTAATGTTTTCTGTGATATGGCCACATCTGGGGGAGGATGGACTGTATTTCAACGTCGTCTTGATGGAAGTGTCGATTTCTACCGAGGATGGAAAGATTACAAAAAAGGCTTCGGCAATCTGAATGGAGAATTTTGGCTCGGTTTGGATAAGATCCACAGACTAACAGCAGCTGTTTCTCTAACGGCACTTCGTTTTGACATGGAAGACACTTCTGGGAATAGGCGATACGCATGGTATGATTCGTTTGCTATCGGTGATGAGCAACAAAAGTATGAGCTGAGCGTTGGAGGCTACGTTGGTAGGAAATTTGGCTAAATATGTATAACTTGTAACAATGGGGATTACAATATAACTCATTGGATTCTTCTGAGCCCAGTATGACAAAATATTAAGTCGAGACATAATATTTTACCATATTGGGCGGAAAGAAATCTAATAGATGTTTTATTATATCGAATAAAACAATTCTATAAGAAACACTATCCTTTGTAAGCGATAATAATACAGCGATAATAATACAGAGATATAGCATGCATCACATAGAGGTGACGAAATTGCTTATATGACGAAATAAATACGTTAATAACCTAGTTTTAAAAACAATTAAATGTCTATATAAAGAACCTCAATTCCATGTACTGTATATTAGCTAAGTATTTTCGAAAGGTGATTACTAACCTCACGACTGTTGTAAACAAATGAATTTCGCGCGAAGAAAAGTTTTTGCCATGCTTTCATGATTTCGAACAAAACTGGTAGAAAAATTACAGTCTTAATGCTCCAAGACGTGGGGCTCTTCAGTGACCAATTACATCTAGTTTACGCTCACTTATATTACCTAGACTTTACAAAAATTGTGTTATTACTTTCCTAACTATGTTTATCCTAATTCACCTTATAAACTTTCTCTGTGGAAGGAAATCGGAGGGCCCGGAGAAAATTCAGATCACGACTTTCAACAGAGGGTTGACAGACTCTTTCCACATGAGTCCGTACAGCGTCTGTAGCGAGACTCGAATCCACAATCGCAGAGGTGAAAGACGCTTGCTCTGCAGGCGACCGCGCCACTGAAATCCCGAAATATAGGAATTACAAACGAATTTTCCAGAACTTGTAAAAATTTGAGACCCCAAAACCAAGTTGCGACACTAATCTCATTGCTATAATATTTTCTTCAATTATTTTTTGTAATCTCCACGATTATAGTTATTGTTGACTAAATATTACTATACTGCCTTTCTTTAGGTACAGCAGGAGATTCTTTCACTCATCACAGAGGTGCGGAGTTCGCGACTAAAGATGCCGGCAATGGCAGACACTGTGCTCAGACACATAAAGGCGCTTGGTGGTATCGAGGTTGTCATTTAGCGAACTTGAATGGTCTCTATCTTCACGGCGCACACAAGTCGTTTGCAGATGGTATCAACTGGAAAACTTGGAAAGGATATAACTATTCTCTGAAATCAACATCAATGAAAATCCGACGTCGTCCATTTTTTAAACCATAAAATCATGATCAGCATGTAATTATTATGCGCTAGTAAAATGTTTCAACAATACAGGTATAACTGTACCTACAGTAGTTTTTAAAATAAACAATATATCTACTTCGTATAAGATCCACCATAATTGGATAATGTATCAAAATAGGAAACATTAAAAAAAACAATGATACGAATTGGTATCGTAAATTGTAGCGAGTTCAGTTGGAGAAAAATGAAAGGGGAAAGCTTTGGGTATGTGGATGATTTAAGGTATAAAAACGCGAAGTATGTAGATAATACAACTACCTGATAAATACAAAAACAATTTCGACGTTTCGAGAGAAGGTCCTGTATACTTTAGGCAATTGCATCATCTGAAAATGGGGAGGAGGGGGTCAGTGTACTTCTAGATAGACAAATTTGGCTAACGTTTGTTTATCATATGTATGTATGTAATGTATGTAAACTTTATTTAAAGACGTTAGCCTCGTCAACGACTTGTTGATTTTCACGAGGGACGTCTGTTACTAATAAAAATTACAAATATGATATAGAAAAGAATAAAGAATTATATACAACTATTTACAATACAAGAATTAAGTTCCAAACGGTGTGACCCAAATTTCTAAAGCATGCATATACAGTATATTAGAAGATGTTAGCGTGAAACTTTCAGGCAGTTTTTAAAAGAATAAATTGATTGCGCTAGCTTCGCATCAGAAGGAAGACTATTCCACAATTTAGCTCCGCTATACTTAAAGCTTTTTTTTAGAAATTCTCGTTTTGGCTTAGCAAGGGTAAGGTCAGTGTAAGTATTGCGAAGATTATAACTGGTTTGAACAAGGTCCCTTCTCGTTAGAGCATCCTTCAAGTTCGGCCCAGCGCAATCATTCAGGACTTTATACATTAATGTGGATTTAGTTGTACGTTGTCTTATCTCTAAATTTTCCCAAACAAGGGATCGAAGAACATCAGCAGACCTTATTTCATAGCTGGCGCCGGTTATAATTCTCGCTGCACGGTTTTGGAACTTTTGAAGCTTATCTTTCAGCTGTTGGTTACAGACGTCCCATAATGGACTACAATAATCAAAATACGGTTCTATCAAAGCTCTGTAAATGGTATGCAGGGTATTTATAGGAACATATGGCTTAATTCGTTGCATTGCTCCTATTCCGGCCCCAACTTTCTTACAAATCATTTCAACATGCTCATGCCAATTAAGGTTTTCATCAAGTTTAACCCCAAGGCATGTGTATGAATGAGCAAGAGTTATGAATTGGTTATTCATCATTACTGGAATATCATATGTCATAGTATCAGTACTATACTTTGAACCGATATACATTAATTTGGTCTTGGTTGGGGGTGGTGTTGCAGTTTATTTCGAGCAAGCCACTCACCGACTTTTTTCAGGTCGTTATTTAGATTTTCAGTAAGTTCCTCAATAGTTTTGGCAGAAGTAGAAATTTGAGTATCATCAGCGTATAGGTGTGGCGAAGTTTTTTCGAGGCATTCGGGTAAATCATTAATATATAATAAAAACAGCAAGGGACCAAGAATTGATCCCTGCGGAACTCCGCACACAATCGTTTTAGGTGATGACATTGCGCCGTTGACAATGCATGCTTGCTCTCTATTAGTTAGATAGGACTTAAACCAATCCAGTTCCACATTTTTTATTCCAAATTGATCATTCATCTTTTGCAATAAGATTGTATGATCAATAGAATCAAAAGCTTTTCTAATATCAAGGAAAACAACACCACTCAGCTGACCATTATCCATGTTCTCATAAAGTGTGTCACACATTTGAATGAGTGTTGTTAAAGTTGAATGCTTAGGCCGAAAGCCAGATTGATGTTTAGATAGCAGCGAATTATCATTCAAAAACTTATAAATTTGGTTGAAAACCGATCTCTCTAGTATTTTACTGACAATAGGCAATATAGATATCGGTCGGTAATTTTCACATCTTTGTCTATCATCAGATTTAAAAATTGGCATTACCCACGCCTTTTTCCATTCATCAACATATATCCCAGTTTTGATTGAAAGATTATAAATCCATGTTAATGAAGGACCAATAACTTTCGCGGACAATTTATGAGCTATAGCAGGGATGTTATCAATACCGGTAGACTTTGAAATTTTAAGATTACGTAATTGACAAATAATATCATCCATACTAATTTCAGAAAACTTAAAATTTATATTAGAGTAATAGTTAGAGTGGTAATTTTCATCATCTGAAAAGTTCGTACATGGAGAATCGTTCTCAATTTCATTAGCCAAATTTACCCCGATGTTAACAAAGAAGTCATTAAACGCCTCAGCTTTCAAAGTATCATCTGAAATCACAACATCATCACATTTAAGTTGAGAGATATTATTTGATTTTTTGTTTTTACCTAAGAGAATATTAATTAACTTCCAACCATGTTTCATATCTTTCGATTGTGCGCAGTTCTCAAATTTGTTACAGAAAAATGCTGTTTTAGCTTTAGTTAGTTCTGAATTGACTTTGTTACGTATTTCTTTGAATTTCTCCCAGTGAATCTGGGAATTATTTTTAACAGCCATTTTCTTGTAAGAGTCCCTAACCCTCATCAGATTTTTGATATCAGGGGAAATCCAAGGAATAGAAGTCTCATCAGTCTTAGGGGCGCATGCCAATCAAGGACGTGTAGGAAAAGGGATCTCCATACCCGCCAACAAACATTTGGGTTATCATAAAGCGCCACATTTTCCCAGGGCATCTGGGAAAGATCATTAAGAAAGTTATTGGCATTGAATCTTTT